CATTTAAGTTGGAAAAATATAAATTTAACAAAAGCCAACTTCCCTTATTACCTTGGAGATAGATTTATAATTTGAATTACTTAAAATGGTACGTAAGTGATGCTTTAAGGAATACCTCTGCCTTTCCTTCAGTGACCTTAGACAAAAACTTTAGCAAGAAAATCACAGTCATGCTCAGTGGTCAAAAAGAAGAATATTGATTGGATTTTAGCCCCATTGCCATGTATGAACAGAAATAGATGTATGCATTTATTGGCATATTCGAACATTCATTTATTCCTTGGTGAAAGCTGACAGAGGAGACTAAAGACTGTTCGGGCATAGTTCCTTATTACATCATCTTAACTCAAACAGATGATGCTGTGTGGAGCAGTGGAAAGAACCAGGGCTTGGGAAGCAGACAGCTCTGGGTTTTGAAAAGTGGCTTTTCCACTTAAACACTCCCTGACTTTAGACAAGCACCTTGGGTAAGGTCTCCTAGGGTATGTTATGTAAAACATTTAGCATGGTTCTTGCAGAATAGTGTAATGGCTGAGAGGACACATTCAGATCCAGCTTTGCCACTTATGAGCTGGGTGATCTTAAGCAAGTTACTCAACCTCTCTGTGTTTGTGTTTGCTAGTCTATAAAATAGGGATGAACATAGTAACCAACTTCATGAGGTTGTTGGGAGATTTGAATCAATGGATTTCTAACCATGCTGGCACATAGTTGTTGTGTTTATACTTTAGGTGCTCAGTGAATGGTGTCTATAATTGGCATCGTAAATGTCAGGCCTAAGGAGAAGGTTGTACCGAATGATTCCTGGTGCCTGAGCCCGCTGAAGCAGGAGCCGTGGTGAGCTGCTAGGGTTGTACCTTTGCTCTTGGCCTAAGCCTTTGCCTTGAGGAAAGCGAGCCACAAGGAGCATACATGCAGCACTCCTCTTCTGTCAGTGCTCTGCCGTCACGGGGAGACAGTGCTGCTTCTGGCCCCCTCACCCACCCACTCCCCTTAGCAGCAAAGAAGCCGGAGTGACAAGTGAGTCACAGTTGCACTACTTGTCCTACCAACTTGAGAGCCCCACCAGCCTGGCTTCCACAGCTTCCTCCCCCTCCCCTCATCACCGCAGCGATGCCCCAGGGTCCTCTCTAACTCCCCCTTTTCCCTCACACCCCACATCCTGTCATTTGCCTAGTCCCAGTGCTTTTGTCTTTAACCTGCTTGTCCTCACCGCACCCCATCCCCAACGGTCCTGGACCATGGCCCGGACCATGGCACCAGCCTCCTGACTGATTTCTCCTCCACCAAGCTCTTTCTTTTAACCAAGAAGAAGACCTCAGGCCAGGGACAGAAGAGGTCTCTGTTCCTCCAGGCTGGATTCTGCGAACTCTCTTTCTTCAGCAGTGGGGTCTGGGTGTGCTCAGGGAGATGGGCCCCCACCATGGACTGTCTCAGGCCCTCCCAGCCTGTAATCAGAGGGCTGCCACTTGGCGAACAGGAGAAAAACAGGGTCCTGTTGGGCTGCATGCTCTGCTTTAAGAAGCTGAGACTCACACAAATCTCAAGTAGGGTGAGATTATTTAATGTACAAAAGGATTTTTCCCATCAGGAAAGATTCTCCTACAGGTTCCTTTAAATAGTGACTCCTCTAGGCAGGCTAGTGTTTTACAGATCATTAGCTACTTGACTGAAAGCCTACAGGGCAGAGAAACTTAAAACTAAAGTGTTGGGAGCCCCTGCCAATTACAGATCAATTCAAAATGAAGATAGAGTATCTCTGCAACTAAAAGTCAGTGGGAAAATGTGATTCAATTCAGGAAAAAAAAATCTGATTTACACACAACTTTTTTGGAATACACCAATTATTTAAATGGTGTTCCACCTGTCTGCTCACCTCGAACCTATTGCATCCATTTCCCACATCTTCATCCCCAAGCCCCAGTCTTGGGGTTCCCCTCAGTGAAAAGTGACTGCACAATAACCCCAGGAAAGGGCGTCATTGGCAAAGTGTTCTTATGGCGGTGAGAGCATAGGCAGTTGATGCAGAGATACAGCCTGTAATGGATGAACTATACAGTAACAATTTGCAGATAAAAATAATAGAAGTTAAAGTGTACTTTACATGATAAAAGAAAGATGAAAGAGAACGAGAGTCTGTTACATCTGAGATGGTTACAAAAGTCCTGCTTTGTGAAGTAGGCTCTGTTGAAAAGATTGATGCAATGGGGAGTGACCTTGGCTTGGAGCAGGAGCTGGTGATGTATGTATGAGCATCCCTCTGCTAAATGGACCCAGATTTGTAGCACTAATATACATGGGAGCCCAGAACCAAACTCAGTACGGCAATAAATCAACAGCCACTTTGGGTGTCATTTCTGGTTTATATTCCACTATTGTTCTATCACTTTAATTCATGTCACTATCATCTTTTCATCTGGAACAGTTTTATATAATTTTCCAGTGGAGTTACCTGACAAATCCTATCAAATTAACAAGGTACATTAACAATATTGACTGACTATGGCTTCAAGAGTTGCAGGGCCATAGAACAAAATTTTAAAACCATGTCTCTCTGGTGATGATTTTTTTTCCCCTCTCTTTCTGAGAACAGAATGTGGGGCAGGGTTTATTTCCACATAAGAGATATGCACATTTATTTTGCTCTGCTTGTTTTGACTTTTATAAATGTCAAAATAAGAAGCAGAAGGGGAGGAAAACATGCACACACGTGCACACACACACACACACACTCTCTTGCTACCAACAACCATGGCTTAAGTACTTTTATTTTTTCAGGGAACTATAGAAATGTCCAGATCTTTAACAATTAATGACCAAATTGGAGGCAAGAGTGTAACTAGGTAATTGTAATCTATTTTAAGTGAAATGTAATAAAATTGGTCTGATACATTCTCACCCTCCTGAAATCATCTAGACCTGAACGTCCAGAGTCAATTGGACTTATGACATTATGCCTAATTGAAGCATGATGTTCCTGAAATATGTCTAATGACAAATTCCAACATTCGATTAGTAAAAAAATACCAATTGTTCCTCTTTACCAAAGACCACACAGTAATGACCAGGGTTAAGCAACTGTCACGGCATTTTCTCCTCTAAAGGCGGCAGAGGAGTCTCTACTAGTCTCTGCACATAGACTTCTGCCTTTGTCTAACTGGTGTTTGGGATTTATGTATTCATAAAATAAAATAGAAATAAATGGAGTGTGTAGCAGACCTAATTGCTAGGATTTTGTTTGTATTTGTTTTCTTTTTTAATTTGCTTTCAGACTATGGTTGTTGGTGTGTGTGTGTGTGTGTCTGTGTGTGTGTGTGTGTGTGTGTGTGTGTGTGTGTATTTTTTTTTTTTAAGTTTTTTTTGGGGGGAGTTAATTAGGCTGTTTCTTTTATCTGGTTCTTTTGGTTTACTGAGTTTTCTCACGTTTTGTTCAAAAATTTCTGAGTGATTGATAGGATGAAATATGTAAACTCTGATTGTCTTTTCTGTTGCAGTATACACATTTGATTATTCTAATTATTTCTTACATCTTTACTTCATTTTGCTTTTTCTTGTTTTGACCCTGACCTTTAAACTATGGCCTAAAAATTAATTACTTTTAAGGTTCCATATGGGGCCCACCATAGAAGGCGTATTAAAGGTTTTTGTCTCACTTCACGAACATATTCCTCAATTTTCAGGAAAAGAGGGAAAATAGCACATCTAGCCTAGATGGTGTGTGTCAGGCTGAGCATGTACTCCTCTGCAATACCAGGAAAGCAATTGTTCATTTCCATACTTACCCCTGGACACCTCCCATACCTGGCATTACCTTTGTTCTATGAACACCTTTACTCCCAGTCAGTGTACAACATGTCATGTCTTTCATAGCTCTGAAAATGAAACCTGAAGTGCCAGTATTTAACATTCTGGATTCCTGTTATAAAGTCTTTGTTGCATAAAGCTCATACCCAGTGCTAAGCCTCTCTCTCAGCAGAGAAGCAGTGACCTCCACAGTCTGAAGCCAGGCTCCAAGACTCGAACTTGGAAGGTTTTATGTAAAGGACCTTTGGATCCTCCTGTGACTTCCTTTAAATATAGCTTGGATAATTACTTAGTGTCACAAAAAGGAAGAGATAGATTCTCCACCGGCATCTTTAGTGTGTAAGGTTTTTCCAGATCAGAAACTGTTCATGGGTAGCTTAGCTATTGAGGCATAGGGGATGTTACAGATTTACCTGTCCACCCCAGATCTTCTTCTTTAAAAAAAAGAAAAGAACATGAATCAAAACTGTTTTTTAAGTGAACTTTATGATTTATTTCATTATAATATAGAGGTAACATAGTTAACAATATGTAGGTAAACTCTATTATTGTATCTTATGTTGTACCTAAGAAGGCATGTTTCTTTTTTTTTTTTTTTTTTTTGAGACAGAGTCTCACTCTGTTGCCCGGGCTACAGGGCGGGGGCATCATTATAGCTCACTGCAACCTCAAACTCCTGGGCTCAAGGCAATCTTCTGCCTCAGCCTCCCGAGTAGCTGGGACTACAGGCATGCGCCACCATGCCCGGCTAATTTTTTCTATATATATATTTTTAGTTGTCCAGATCATTTCTTTCTATTTTTTAGTAGAGACGGAGTCTCGCTCTTGCTCAGGCTGGTCTCGAACTCCTGACCCTGAGCGATCCACCCGCCTCGGCCTCCCAGAGTGCTAGGATTACAGGCGTGAGCCACCACGCCTGGCCGAAGGCATGTTTCTTAATACCTTTTCGAAAATACAGTTTGGGTCGTTTTCCCTACCCCAACTCACCCACCCAGAAAACCAGACTGTGCAACTTCTGTGTGCCATTTGAAGTCTTATGTCTGTCTTAAGGAACCCATGGCATTCCCCAAAGCCCTAAGAAAGAGCTCACGTTCATCCAATTTAAGATTTATAAAACAGGTCAAATGATTACACTGAAATCACTTACACCTTCCCCTTCTTATGGCTTCTTTTTTATCCTCCCCTTCACTTTACAGGTATCTCTGGAGACAAAGTAGAGATAGACCCTGTTACAAATCAGAAAGCCAGCACTAAGTTTTGGATTAAGCAGAAACCCATCTCAATCGATTCTGACCTGCTCTGTGCCTGTGACCTTGCTGAAGAAAAAAGCCCCAGTGAGTAGTCCCTTTTATTTATGTCTCCTTTCTCTCTTTCCCCTCTCTTCCCCTCTGTGTGCTGGGTGCCAGGAGAATATATTGCCACCGTGTCCTTTTTTCCTTGGGTCTGTTTAATTCATTACCAGAAATTTCTTTTAATCAAACGGGATTGTATTATGGTACCCAGAGCCTGACATGAGCCCCATCCTGGCTGGTCTTGATGGCGGCAGAGAACCTTGCAGCCCTGTTCCTGACCTCAGTAGCCCTGCCCTGGAGACTGGGGGGATAGGGCCAGATTTCTGCTGGGAATTTGCACTCACTAGAGCCCTCATTTCACTTTGTACTCCCTTCTCATTTGGGGGACTTGACCTGTCAGACCTGGGCCTGCCTGCCTTCCATGCCAGACCAAGGAAAGCAGGGGGATTTCCTGAGGCAGCTGAAGACGACATTTAGATATCCATCATGCTGGAAGTGTCAACACCTCCCCAGATTACTGGCAGCTGCGTGACCTACCAGCTCATAATTAAACTCTTGCCAGGTCCTACAGAAGAGATTACTGCTGGGTTGGCATTGCTACACTTAAATTATCAAGGTAGATACAGTCCAGTTGTATACTTTGGCAATTGTATTTTTGCAGCTAAGTAATTGGGTGTAGCGTTTAGATTAGTCACTTAATCATTTTTAGGCCTTCAGTCCTATCGGGGGCAAAAAGGACACATAGATCACACTGAAATTCCTCCATGGAAGAAAAAGTTTAAACTATATAAGGGTGTATTAGTTGCCTAGAGAAGGCTGTAAGATAATGGTTCTCAAAATCTGGTAAATATCAGCATTATCTGTGGAGCCTATTTCAAATGTAATTAGCCAGGGCCCACCCCAGTAGATTCTGATTTAGTAAATTGGGGTACAGACTGAGCATCTAATTTTTATTAATTCCCTATGTCCAATGTCCACTAAATGTGAGAACAAATGTTATAAGGAATTATATACTCAAAAGGAACAATAAGAAATGTAAAGGCCAGCAAGTGTTTATAATATGGTTCAAATTTTTGAGATAATACTGACTGAACAGGGGCCTGAAGGGGGCTTGCAGACTGGGTACATGCGACATTGCCTCATTTATGGGTGAGTGTTTAAATTTTCTGTCAAATCCAGCTGTGCTGGGCTACATATTCTCCTCCTCTCATCCCATTAGCCTACAGCTTGGCAAGAAGGGAGAACTTAGTGGAATACAGGGAAAGGAATCAGGCCATCCCCAACCCCTTCCTGCCATTCCTGCCATCCCAGTGAGGCCTCTGACTCCGCAAGAGGCTGGTGAGAAAATTGCCTGCTGCCCTCGGGACCTTGCCCTAAGGCTGCTGGATTCTCTCTGTTTTTGGATAAAGATCTTCTTCCTAATCCCACTCACTCCAGCTTGTCAGCCAAGAAAAATGCTATTGTTCTGGCAGGTTTCTTCCCAAGAACTAAGGATGCTTTGAAAAGTAACATTTTGTTAATTCTCCACGTCTCTGAGAAATGAAGGGCAATCACTTGCATATTGCATAGAGGGATAAGCTGGAGTGGAAAGGTCAGGAAAGAACTAGAAGCAGGATTCGAGTTTTCCTCACGCTCACACTAGGACACTCACTGTTCCAAGCAAGGTTGCGATGCAGGCACTGAAGGTACAGGATGTAACACACCCAGCCTAGCAGGGAACGAAGAAAAGATTCACGGCCACCCATCTCCCAGTCCCTCGAGGGATCAAGTCAGTAGAGAAGTAATTATTACACATCTGTGTAAATGAGGCCAAGTCCCAGCATTGGGGATACAGGGCAGATGTGGGCCCCATCATTTCAGTATTGACAATCTAGTCTTTTGTCTTATTTTCAGATACACGAGATGGTTCTGTGTAAAAATTACATATGTGGGTCTTACAGCGGTTTCTTCCTCTTTCACTCTGGCTCTAGAGACCTAGAAATTGTGGCACTTTCCTGAGGCTCACTACCCCAGTAAACCTCTTCTTAAGTCCCTGTTCCCTATAGCAGTGCTTTTCAAACCACGTTCCTCAGCACTCTAGGGACCTCAGGGGCGTGCGTATGTAAGGCAGGATTGGGCATAAGGCCTCCCCTTCAACCAAAGGAACTCTACGTTTTTTTCTATTTAGGGATTCTGCATTTAAAAAGTCAGCTGATAAAAGGATTTTGATGCTTTAAAAAAAAAAAAAAGATGTGAAAGTTAACAGGCTTACAGAATAAAATTCAGACTCCTCAGGATAATCTTTGCAAACATTGACAACCTGCTGACCACTCTGGCCTCATAGCCCATAACTTCCCGTCTCAAATTTGGGCTGTGGTCACTGTGAACTACTTGTACACGACGCATGTTGTGCTTCTGCAGTTCCCACTGCTGGAATATGCCTTCGACCCTGACCCTTCCTCTAATTCATGGATGTTTCTACCTCCCCAAACTCAGCCCACTCATTTTTCAAGATCCAGCTCCAATGTCAGCCTCTCTCTGTTTACTTTGCCCCCAAAAGTTTGTGCATAGCTCTAGTAAAACAGCTCTGTGCTGTATTTATTAATGTCTATGTGAGGTCTGCCCCTCCCTTCCATCCCCATCTCCATACTGAACTGATTGACCCGGGGACTGGCTTCTGCATCCTCAGTCCCTAGCACAGTGCCTGCAGAGTTGTCCTCAGTGGTTTGTTGACTTGAAATTGAACTCAAGAGGCTAGAATTTAGAAACCAAAAGTTATCTGACATAATTTATGTTGTAAAGTGCCCAAACAAAGATGTATTAAATGAATCAGCTTGATGCTATGTGTTTTATGATTTCCAGTATCTTCATCAAATTAATTCAGTGACTCAATCTAAAAAGTTCATCCTCAGACTATCATCAGACCACGGAATTAATCTATGGGGCGTCTTCCTTTTCTTTCTTCCTTTTTTTTGAAAGGATTAATGGTCACCCTTTTTATCTTTTGTGTCTGTTGAACCTTAGAAAAAAGTTATTTTAACATCACTAAAGAAATGAAAGTCACTATATTTCATAAGTTTAGCCTGTGATTTTTATCAGCATAGTGATGTATGTTTGTAGCTGAGTTTACATCAAAAATTATTCTTGGGGCCTTCTTGAATGAATTATGGCAAAGAAAGAGAGTCTAGAAGTAGATAAGGTTTTTGATTTCTGCAATATATTTCCTTTTTCATGTTTTTATCTCTGTAACACAAGTGTCTTGCTGAAGACTGGAACGTGTGACCAACTGGAATAATTTAGTTGTGAAAACAGAGCAGACGTGTTATTAAACAGCCTTCTTTACAAAAAGGCATTAAGTGTTAGGAGGATAATGAAGTTGTCCCCAGTCTTACTTGAGACGTGTTTGTCAGAATTTTGAACAGAAAAGAAATGGTTTTTAAAACCTTTGAATATGGCCAGTTTGCAGTGTTTATTGAGAAAGCTGCTGTCAAACCATTAATTTGGTCGTCATAAGGAACACAACTCAAGTTTAATTGATGCCATATCCAAAAAGTGTGTGAATAGCTGACTTGGCAAAGGGACCGAGCATTTGAACGGCTGCAATGAAACACATAATTACACATATTGTGGGATCGGAAAGACCCAGGCTCTGAAGCCATGCTTCATAAATAGCAGTTCTGTGGCTCCCTTTCCTTTACCCTCGACTTCTCCCTCTTAGGCCAGGTTCTCAGAGGAAAGATTTATTGCTCTGTCCCTGTGAGTGCTTAAGGACCTGGAAGTTAATGACTAAATAGATACAGGCCTTAAAAAAATTATACATATAAATATGGGCTTCGGAAAGAGTTAGTTGAGAAAATCTGTGTTATCACAAGCCCTGAGATATTAAGAATAAATTCTGCCTTTCTAAATTGAAGGAAAAAAAATCATACTGCCATTATAATTATTATTCAATTCAGTGATTTCTCAGTCAGATTTTGCTGCTTCTTAGGATATCTCTTGCTATTTTGAAAGATGTCACAAACCTCTAAAAGATGATTTAATATTCGCTTTAACTGATCAAGGATGTTACAGCACATAGGAGAGGAGACTGTTTCCATATCACAAACTGCCATGTTTAAATTGTCTTATAGAAATTAATTTTCAATTCTTATACAGGTCTAGCACAGGCTTTGAATGCCATGGGCTCTCTTTTTAAGTGCTGGCCTTGAATTCTTACACTGAAACGAAAGCAAGGGACCTTTCTGTGAAACTGGTACTCATCAGATTCTCGGGCCATAGTTGAGTACCAGCCTCAACCATGCCAGGTCTGGTTTCATCATAAGAAGGTTGTGCACATTTAGAGTCTTTAAAGGAAGCAGCCTATCATTAAGAAATCAGATTTAAACCTTAATAAAGTAGCTGTCGTCTTTATAGCTGAAAAGAGCTCTGTATCTCAATTAAGTATATATCATATAAAATCTTAAGGAAGCAACATAATAGAGGTAACCTGATTACGTTCTTTTGCAATAGTATAATTTAAAGGAAATCTGATTCTGTTGATGCTGGTTATGTGGGGGGAGTTTTTGTTTTGTTTTGTTTTTTATCCAAAACACTGTTTTGATACAAGATAGGAACTCTTTGGGTTTAAGAGTTAACCACAGCTGAGGAAGACTGTTAAACCCTCATGACCAAAACCTGCTGAATATTTGAGATGAGACTCAGTTAAGGCTATGAGTTAAATTATCTGGGCTTATTGGTGACCTCCCGCTTAAATGAATCTTTCTTTTCATAAGTACTTGACAAGATCTGTAAAGTAATGTATTTAATTTACTAATTAAATTAAAGCTACTGAATAATGATTTGTCCACATTGATTTAGCTTAAATAGAAAAGATCAGCATTGTTGTGATCTTCAGCAACCTTAATGGCCAAGCCAGTTAGACACAAAGGCCTCTTGTGTTTTGTAGGTCAGAAGTACATAGGTAAGCCCAGGCTGTAATTGAATTGCCTGCACTGCACCCTGCAGTCCCAGATTTCCTTTGCCTTCCTGTTCCATTGTTGCACTGGGGCTTAAGAGAATGTTAA